ACTTCTGTTAGTCATGTCCTCATTAATGAGGAGAGTTCTCATGCCGACCCTCCAAAAGTCTTCATGGAGCAAGGAGTCAACACATGTGCATGTCAAAGGCATCATGCAGGATGACTTGGCTTAGTAACACAACCAATAGAAGCATAGTGGACTCAAGAAAATGTTTAATATTCTTGTAAAAATATCATATTTAATTATACCATCTCATCCCACGGTCTATTGAGGTATGTCACATTACAACTACGTATATATTATGTGATACTCTCATTCCTCCCACCTTAGAAGTTTGTGCTTCTACAATAGTGTTGTAATTGTTTGCAGAGAATTATAAGTTAGGGGGTTGTGCTGGCCATCAATGACATAACATTCATACCAAGTTTCATGAAGATCCAACTTCTGGATTACAAGCTGACATGAGTGGATACACAATCATTCAGCGTCCATGAAGCATCTCCCTCTTGTCAACTGGTCTTACTCCAGGGAACCAAAAAGCTCTGATAAATGTACACAAAAACTAATTTAAAATCTAAAAACATGTTACGTACATTGTAGGTTATACTTTTATGATGTTGGTTGCACTTTTTCTATATATAGATTTTGGTACATCAACACAAAGTGTGAAATGAGAAGTCTACTTATATTTCTTTGCATCAAGAAGATGTATTTATTAGAAGACACTATGTAAACCAAATTACAAGCTGTCAGTCATGTTATGCGTTGAATTGTAATTTATGACTTCTGTCAAATTACAAGAAGGTGCATTATAGTGGGTATATGAATGAGGGCATTTAATTTTTTCTTTCTTGTGTGTTCAATTGCAATATCTTTTTTTATTTCAGTATTCTTTAGCGTGATGTGATGGATATCTAAATGGAAAATACTTATGAGCAAGGGTCCTGTATTCTATTTGAATGTATAGTGTAATGATTCAAATGACTGATATGATATTTGCTTGTGTAAAGTACCTAGCATGTATCATGATATTAATATGATGCAAAATCTGCTATAATATTACACTAGTTGGTCCAATATTTTTGCTTGGACTATTGCAAAGTTATCCTCAGATTACTCTTAAGATATTTGGCCCTGGTCATTACTTGATGTGAAACATTTATATCCTGTGGTTTGCTGATATTTTGCTTGTTAGTTGCCATTTATAGTACATCAGTGATGGATCTTTATCATTTGTTTGAGAAGTGTGATGGACTTGGTGCAAATATTTTGCTTTTGTGTTGCAGCAACTGGAAGTGTAGTATATTTTTAGTTACAACAGTTGTGAGGTTCTATTAAAAAATATAGTCTATATTTAACATAAATTGTCAATGTTTTAAAACTCTTTGTGCAATTTTTTTGAGGGAGGGTCAGTTGTTGTAGGGTACTTCATGTCCCCAGATTACTTTTAAATACTTCAAGCATTTTTCTCATTATGTAGTTTGAAGCATTGCTATTTTCTGGTTTATCAACAGTTTATTTTCTTGTGTAATAATATATGTGTGATGTGAATATGGTCGTTTCATTATTATTGCTTATGCAGGATTTATAATACTTTGGTGATGGCACTTTGGATGTGCTGGTAAAATGTAGTGCTGTGTATGTTTTTAATTCTAATTAGTGAGGCAAGCTGTGAAAGATTGTTAATTAACAAGCGTTCTGAGGTATTGTTTATAATACAGTGAAGTAACTGAAAGGCAATATTTTATGTAGCTTTCAAGTGTAATTTGTGAGCAACATTTATATGGATGAATACAGGTATCCAAAGACGGTGTAAATTCCTCTGCCTTACAAGAAAGACCGCAACATTATTCATTGCTGTGGTTGTGAATAAGTTCAAGATTAAGTGGTGTAAGGTGGATAGTAGTTAACATTTTTACAGACAGCTATTTGCAGTAATTTGCGTAATGTTTTGTCAGCATTTACCATAAATACAAGGTGGTTCAAATATGACCGGGACTGATTTGTGTGTAAACAAGCCGCACTGCGCAGCAGCTGTGCGACCTTGAGAGAGTGAAGTCACAACCTCCATCCTCCCTCCTGTTCGGGTTAGAACCTGTTCAGTCCTGTCTGGGAGTTACTAGAGTGATGAGCGAACAGAAGGTACTGTGGAGCATGCAATAACGCATTGTGATCAAATTCATCATTAGAGAATTCACCACAGACTCCAACAACAGTATGGGGAAGAGTGTCTCTCATGGACCCATGTGTTTGAGTGGTGTAAGTGCTTCAGAGAGGGCAGAGAGCACGTGTAGAATTAACCGCATGATCGTCGGCTGCAAACATCTGTCACTGAGCCAAACACTGATCGTGCAGACGTGCTTATTCATGAGAATAGGCGCATCACTATCAAGGAACTTGGAGCAATGCTGTCCATCAGTGTTTGTAGTGTAGAAGACGTCGTGAAATACCACCTGCACTATCGCAAGGTGAATGCACGGTGGGTATCACGCACTTTGACAGACATGAACAAAATGGTGCACATGCAAGCTGCCAGTCGTCTCCTACGGCAGTTTGAAGATGGTGATGCATTTTTGAAGTCTCTAGTGACCACCGATGAACCGTGGGCTCCACTACTTCATTCCCAAGTCAGAGCAGTCATCACACAAGTGGCGGCATACCAGTTCTCCCAAACCCAAGAGAGCGCGGAGGAGCTGTTTGGCATGAAAAGTGATGGCAACGTTCTTCTGGGACTGGCAGGGGGTTATCCATATAGACTTTCTGACATATACCAGAACAGTCAATGCAGCTTATTACTGAGACCTCCTGGCAACAGACATGAAGGAAAAGATCTGACCAAAGTGGAAGACGGTGGAAAGTGGGTAGCCTTCCTCAAGACAATGCATGCACCCATACGGCCAAAACAACAATGGAAACCCTCTGGAAATTGAAATGGAACCTTCTGACACATCTGCCGTACAGTCCCGATTTGGCCCCAGGTGATTTCTGCCTGTTTGGAAGGCTCAAATCAGACTTGCAAGGCATGCAGTTTGTGGATGACGCCATCATCCAGATTGTTCAGGAGTGGATTCGCTGCCAACCACAAGCCTTTTTTGAAAAGGGCATCAGGATGCTTCCAGAACGTTGAAAAAAATGTGTTGACTCCGGAGGGGAGTACATTGAAGACTGACATGTGCAACTAAGTGTTTGGCAATTCATTCAGTCATCAGTAATCTGTCATATTTGAACCACCTTGTACAAACGTGATTAGTTCAATTGAGCACAGATCAAGATGAATGTGGACAGTCTCGTCAATCATTTGAACGACATGCGCATTCATTCATTCTTTTATTAATCCTGTAGATCATGATACAGTGATATTGGACAAGTCTTATGTCACAGTTCACAGTGTTCAGTGCCTTTAGTTAAAGAGGTGTTTCATGTGAAAGAAAGGTTATGACTTTCCAGGCACTGGTGAGAAACTTTCTGCAGATAAATAATCTGCAACCTAATCTCTTGTACTCCAGAGCTGCAGAGGCTCTTATTCCATTGTTTTTTTTTTTAAGGTTTGGGGACCAAGTTTAATAGCACTTCACTCAAATCCAACCCAAAGGATATGGGTGAAGTGATATTGAACTTACTTATGGAGCTGAGCTCTTCTTGGGAACCCACCAATTGTGCAGCCACTGAAGAATTTTCCATCCTTTTATGGAACCCGAAGGTTCATTACTGTGTTCACAAGAGCCCTCCACTGGTCCCTATCCTGAATCAGTTCAATCCAATCCATACCATACCATTCTATCTCTCTAGGATTAATTTTAATATTGTCCACCCACCTACACCTTGGTCTTCCCAGTAGCTCTTTCCTTCTGGCTTTCCCACCAATATCCTGTATGCATGCCTCGCCTCCCCCATTCATGCTACATACCCTGCCAACCTCATCCTCCTTGACTAGTGATACTGAACACAGTTCAAAAATAGAAATAGGGTTGGGGGTCGGGGAACCTCTGCAGTACAAGAGATCTGGTCATAAAATTATTTATTGCTATTCTAGTGAACAAAGCATTTGGGGGGGGGGGAGCACTCAAAATAGTTACTATGTTAGCATACCTTCTTACCGATTGTGTTCTCAGCCCTGTCGGGCATTTTAAATTTAGTTAATGAAGGATGTGTAGAGATGGCAGTGGCATTGCACCATGGTGTCATGGTGGTCATGCTGCCCACCAATAACATAGGAGTTTCATAGGGCTGTTCCTAAGTACCCCTGCTAAGTATTGGTTATACCAACGCCCATCTGTGAACCCCAAACATTTTGCATACAGATGCATGTCTGTATATGTTCTCCATATTGGCTTTACAGTTGACATCTATGTGTCCTTTATATTGGGCATATAAACACTTATATATATATATATATATATATATACACACACATATATATATGTATATATAAGTAAGAGGTCTATATAGCCAGTATAAATTGAACAAAGANGGTGGCTTAATGTTTGAGGATGAAACGTGCTGATGATAAGAACTTGGCTACATGTCCTTAGTACTGCTTATACATATATATATATATAAATTTGAGAAAGGTGGCTTAATGTTTGAGGATGAAACGTGCTGATGATAAGAACTTGGCTACATGTCCTTAGTACTGCTTATACATATATATATATATAAATTTGAGAAAGGTGGCTTAATGTTTGAGGATGAAACGTGCTGATGATAAGAACTTGGCTACATGTCCTTAGTACTGCTTATACATATATATATATATAAATTTGAGAAAGGTGGCTTAATGTTTGAGGATGAAACGTGCTGATGATAAGAACTTGGCTACATGTCCTTAGTACTGCTTATACATATATATATATATAAATTTGAGAAAGGTGGCTTAATGTTTGAGGATGAAACGTGCTGATGATAAGAACTTGGCTACATGTCCTTAGTACTGCTTATACATATATATATATATAAATTTGAGAAAGGTGGCTTAATGTTTGAGGATGAAACGTGCTGATGATAAAAACTTGGCTACATGTCCTTAGTACTGCTTATACATATATATATATGCCTGATTACCTGACCTTGGAAGTGGCTCTATTGCTGCATGTCTTGGTTCAATTTATACTGGCTACATATACCTCTCACTACATGCTACTGCTAGGGCAGTCTACCTGCCCTTATGGTCTACATAGCCTGCTTAACTACACATAATATTGCCTCTGCTGACGCCTGTCTTCTTGCCCTGTGCATTGAATATAAAGCTACATAATGTTTGGCATACAGAGTGCCTCAAAATCCTACAGCCAAACTTTCAAAGTTATTGGGGAAATAAAATGGAGTAGGGATTATAAGGAAACTGTTGATTCATTGCCCTTCTTATGTTTGGGCACCTTTTAGAAAATGTAATGATGTCCTTATATGTATACATGCTGTCATTTAGATTTAAGTTTTAATTTATTGCTTTCAGTTAATGAATGAAAAGCAAAGATTCTAACACTATTAGCTGGGTCCAGTTTGACTTTTATCTTTAAGATATGTCTGATCGTGTAATGCGGATTTATGCACAGTTCATGGCTATGTGGGATGAAGCCCAATTGACTAGTTTGGCCCTGCAATGGTTAGAAGGATACACCTGTTTCCCACAAACTTCAGTGTACTATTGCAAGTACATCTTCTGGGTAGCTCCAGTAAGGATGTTGATATTCCCTTGATGTAGTGCTAGCATTTCCAACACAACACCCATCATGAAAAATGTGAGATACAAGTGAATGCAGGATGAACTCCATCTTGTATTCTTATGAAATCACCACAAGAACATACAACTAAATCAAAGCTAAAGCTCTGAAAAAGTGTGGAATTGGACAACTGTATAAAACTTTGGCTAAACCTCCTAAAGGGACACACCCCGTATAGGAAAAATGGCCAGTAGTACCGAGTATATGATACATCCTAATAGGGACAACAATGAAATATGGCTCGAAGGCTGTACAAGATGATCCCTGCCAGGAGGACTAAGACAGAGCCTTCTGCTATTTGATGATGCAAATAACCTAATTAGGGAGACATCATCTTCAGGTGCAAGTGAACTTCTATCCTGAATGTGGAGGCAGCAGTGAATAACCTGACTACAAAGTGTTACGACATATATCCCAGAAGAGCACAGTCTGAACATTCTACTGCTTTGAACATCTCAGATATCACACATTTGGCTTTTGTTCACTATACGGCTTATACATGGAGTGACTTTCCATTCAGTCTATCCTGGAGGAATTCTAATAAAAGGAAACAAGTGGAAGGAACACTCCTATTCAGAATATGAATGGTGCTTTTAACGAGTTTATTTACAAATTAATTAAAAGGGCATGCTTTCTATACAAGTAGGAATATAAGCTAATACTTGGTTCGTAAAAATTATTCACTGTATGATTCTTGTTAACCTTTTATCAGATGAGCATTATACTGTCCTTGAAGAAGCATGCACAGAGGGTATGTTTTCAATACAAACATCTTTACCCTGGGGGATGAAAACACCCTATTAATGAATGATACAGGTTAATGCAATTCTGTCAAAATGCCACCTTGTTATAGTGATTCAATTTACAAAACATTGTCTTCCTCGTCACTCAAAATAATTCTACATTTATATTTCCGCATATAAATGCTACCATCTGTTTCTGCCACTGAATGTCTTTTTTCTATGTCCATTGTATTAGTCTCATCAGCAGAAAATGTGGTCTTGCTCCTTTTGATGGAATGTGAAATGTCACCATCTGAGTCTGAGCCGCCAAGAACTCTTTTGTATTCACGCCTTGTCGGTTCAGCTTGGGCTCCGGTGACTTCATTTTCAGAATCGGAATTCAGTGCGACACTGGTGACAACATACTTCGTAGTCCCATGTGAACTGCCATCTGTTACACTTTTTGTGTCAGGAATGTAGTCATTCTGAACAAATGGGCTAAGGCTTATTTCCTCTGTTTCAGAATCTGAGTTAAGTATGAAGTGTGTGAGCTTCTTCTTTGTAGTTCTGTTTAAATCACCATCCATCTCACTTCCTGCGGCAGTGGGACAATCAACTTTCCACATCATGGAGTTACTGCTTTTTTTCATTTTTTTTCAGAATCCAACATAAAAATTTTCCCTCTATTTCATGGACTTTCACCTGAGATGATACTCTCTGAAGCTTCACCTGTTTGAATTAACGATTTATTTCTTCTGTTTCAGAATCTGAATCAAGCTGCAGGTGCTTCCAGACTTTCCATGCAGGATTTTTATTCTTATTCCTTTTACCTTCAGTATCTTTGTTTAAGCTGCTTGTTTGCTTGAAAATCCTCTTTCTTCAGAAATGTTTATGTTCCCATCTGCGTCATTATCTTGTCTACTTCCTGCACTGCCATCTATCCCCTCACCTAAAAAGCAAAGGAAGAAGAATGGCACATCCTCTTTATGACAAATATACTCTGCTGTGCCATAGCTCAAGTGGTTAGTTGCTGGCTTCCCACCGCGGTGGCCCGGGTTCGATCCCAGGTCTGGTCAATTGAGATTTGTGGTGCACAAAGTGACACTGGGGCAGGTTTTCTCCGTATACTTCGGTTTCCCCTGCCAGTCTTCATTCCACCAATTGCTCCACAATCACCCTCACCTATCATCTGGGGCTGGTACAATAGGCCAGAAGTGGCTGCAGTAGAAGGGACTTACTTCCACCGAACTAGCAATAAAAAAAAATTATGACAAATATAATTTAATTCTTGTAATATTGCTAAACATGGTGGTTGTATAAGTAGCACTCCTGCTTAAGGTTGGGGATGAAGCTTCTGCCCTCCCCTCCCATGCACACACACACACACCCCTAATATGACCGACAAACAGAAAGTTGGGTATATATCTTCATGACGTGCTGCATTTGCCTTCCAGTATGACAAACATTCCAAATTTTAGAAGTCAAGAAAATTTGTGTGGAGAATTCAACGTCTACCGCTGTCTTCCCTTGAATATTCTTCCTGACACCTAACATGCAAATTACTGTATTACTTGAGTCTGTTTATAATGGCAGCCACAATGGTGTTCTGCAGTATAAAATGTTGTGGGTTATTTTACACTCAGTATAAGTATGGAAGGATGATAAATAATTGACAAATTGGAAAGACTATAGAAGGAAGCTCTTGTGGTTCAAACGAGGTACTACCTCAGCATTTTACTTGGAGGGACTGAGGAAAACTACAAAACACTTCACTCAGAATAGCTGATGTCCTGGCCTAGATCTGAACTACACACCTTCCAAATACAAGTCTACTGTTACCACTAGACCAATCTGCTCCACGTTGGTGTCTGTTCTATATATGTGGTATAGAGCTGCCAATTAATTATGTTCTTACCACTATGTTGTGTTATCAAACTCCCATCTAGTGCTTGATTAATGATCTCAGTCCTTTTCTTAAGATCTTGAACATTCAGATGCCCTGGAATATGCCAATATATCTCCTGTAAATAAGGCAACAGACAAATATCCTTGAATTAAGTTTCACTGTACTTCACAATGCGATTTGGTAGTCATAATACTATTATCCCAGTGGCAAATTTTCTCATATAGGATGTTCCTCAGATTACTGTATAAATCTGATCTTTAGGAAGAAAGTGAAAGGAGATTTCATATACAGGATCTTTAATTCCTTTTTTATCAAAAATTTCAGAGGTGGACACTGGCCATACCCTCCTTTGACCAATCGCAAGCATGTGCATGTGTCCGCACTGCTAGTCTTAACAAAACCCACCAAAAGAAAAGGTTCCCTATGAGTATCTTTTTATTTACACAAGACAATGCTCACAAGGGCAAGAAAACATACTTCTATGAACTAACTCTTTCCATAACAAATTTTTGCTTGGAAACACACCTGTTCATCTGAAGGTGGGACAATGTTCAGGGCAGTCAGAAGTTTAAGGAACTGTGGATTTTCCATAGCAGTCATAGCCTCCTCAGTAATGGGAACCAAAGGAATGATCTCCTCTCCACCATCTGCTTCTCTGTCATCAGCCACCTCTTGCAATGATGATGATACCCAATGAAGAGCATTTGTCATCCCTGCAAGTCAAATGCTCTATTTGCAATATTGTACTCCATTTAGTGTTGAATAGTCATTTTATTAACTTCAGAAGTTTTAAAGTTAATAAATTTTATAGGACATACTATCGCAGGTGAGACTTTAACTAATCGGCACTAAGTGAAAAGTGCAACAGGATGCTACAGTATAATACCGTATTGTATCTTATCATCTCTCCTATAGTGATCAATACTTTTCAATGAATTGTTATTAACCTGTCACTGTTAGGGCCAGAACATTTGATTTGGTTCATGATGGTGTGTCACACTAGCAGCATTATAAAAGATTATCAACTCCATCCATTGTGACTGATGTTTTTTTTTTTTCTATTTAATCTCTCATCCTTGGCATGTTTTGGTCTGTGAGACCATCTTCAGAAGGATATTCATGGAATTGTAATGATATTGTATGTATGCATTGATGTTGACCAATCACATTGTAATGGTAGTTTCTGCTTGTATTCATATGTCCTTCTGAAGATGGCCTCTCAGACTGAAACATGCCAAGGATGAAAGATAAAAAAAAAAACATTTATCAAGAACACTGAGTAGTTTTATAATGACCAGAATAGTTCTGAAAAATAAAACAATGAACTCCGTGGCCTGTAGTCTGCAAGCGAACTATACTGACCACTTGACCACTGCTTGTCAGCAAAGTTAGTGTCAACTTTGGCAGGCAGAGGGTGTCACGTGGTCAGCGCAACGAATCCCCACGGCAATTAATTTCGGTGTTCTAGACCAGAGCCACTGCTCTGGAGTACTGAAATATAAATGTCTTTCCTTTCAAAGAGTTCCACAAGAAAAGAGGGGCTGTAAAACGAACATGGTTGACATTCAAATTGCGTCATAGTGGGGGACAAGGAACAGTGCACAGATTTTCATATTGTAATATCTGGTGCCTGAATTAATTAAAAAAAATTGTGAAAGCTGCGATTTGAATTTTCAGGTCCACTCTATGAATGAAAATATTTTTGCTGCCAAAATTCCTGTTTTTCTAAAATGTAAAAAATTGTCCGCCTCTGTGGTCTAGAGGTCAGAGTTCCTATGGTCGCGGGTTCGATTCCCGGCACTACCAGATTTTCTGAGAATTTGACACTGACTTTCTAGCTAAGATTGAACGGATTAAAAATACACAATCACCAACAACATCTGCTTTGGTTTAGAACCTCAAGTGTTGCCAACATTCACGAAATGCAACATAACGAAAGAAACTATAACAATGTTATTTTCCAAGGATTACATAAATTTTATGATAATATTTAACCCATGAAATATAATTCGCAATGGACCTAAATAAAAAAAACGGAGAATTATCCACTCCGGGTAAACAGTAAACGGAGGAACAAAATTTGTGGGGAAAATGGGGTATCTGGGAACCCTAATCTGTATGCACATGGTGGCTAAACTAATGGGAAGCTGATTGCAATCGTAAGCCTCTAGAAGTATGTAAGAAATAAATAATTTCTGTCATTTACTACACTTCGAAATCTGAAGTATTGCTCACCTTGACGGTAATTTGAACTGTACTGCCACCTTTTGGAGGAAGTTGCATCTAGATACTTGATCTGCGACAAAATACAAATTAGTTGAAATTTTGCATACAAAGATGGCAGTGTAGCTGTTGTTATAAAATAATAAGGGAATGCGCACAATGTGCATAGAGTAATTTTTGTTTGTTTGTTTGTTTGTTTTTGCGACTGTATTCGGTTATTGATGTGGTTAAGTTTTTGCATATGGTAATGTGGTATCTACTGCACTTTTTATCACAATGTTTACACACACACGCGTCATTTGCTTCGTGGAAACGTTCGTTCTTGCATTCTTGCATATCTTGTGGTGGAATCCGTGTGTTGCCAACCTAGTAATTGTGTGTCGTAATTTTGTGTAGGGTCCTGTCCAGGTTCTGTCAGTCATTGCATCAGTTCTATAGAACTCTTCCCATATTTCCTCTCTTTTTTGTTTTCTTTCTTTGATAACTTCCTCTGAGTTTTTTGTGCTTGGCAGTTGATATCTGAGTTCTTCTAATAGGAAATTTTCCTTACAGAGTTCGTATGTTAGTCTGGATTGTGTGTTCTTAGGAAGCCCTAGCGCTAGTTTAAGGTATCTTGCCTTCACTTGTTCTATTTTCCGCAGGTTTTGTTTGGATAGTTTTTCCCAGGTTATCTCTATGCCATATAGTAGTATGGGACAAATTTTTGCATGGAATATTTTCATTGCTGTTTCTAGCGATAATAGTTGCAGGTTTCGGATGGTGTATATAGCTTTGATGGCTGCTGTGCATTTTTCTGTTATGTGTGCTGTGAATGTTGTAGATGTAGACTGCAGTGTTAAGCCGAGGTATTTATATTGTTTTACTGATTTTATGTGTTCTCCATTAAATTTTATTTCATCATTTTTTCCTTTTTTTCCTCCTTTTCTGAAAGTCATTAGTTGGGTTTTGTTTTTATTTATTTGAAGTTTGTTTTGTCTTGCCCAGCTCTCCAGTGTAGTGGAGGCTTCCTGTAGCTCCTCAATATTTTTTCCTCCAATTGTCCTATCGTCTGCGTACATAATTAATTGTACCCTAGTGTGTTTTTCCATTGTTTTGGCCAAGTCTGCTGTTGTAATATTGAATAGTAATGGGCTGAGGGGGTCCCCTTGCAGTACGCCATTTGTTTGGGTTATTTCTTCGGATTCTGACACCGTGTCTTTTATTATGATTTTATTGTTTTTGAGGATGTCTCCTATTAGTCTTGTTGTTGTGTTCTCTTCACCTACTATTTCCCTCAGTTTTGTTGTGATTATACTCCTGTCAAGTAGGTCGAATGCCTTGCTATAATCTATGAAAACTACATGGTATTTTCCTTGTGGGTGGCTTAATGCTTCTTCAATTGCTTCTAGTAGTGCTGTGATGGCTTGTATCGTTGATCTTTGTGGCCGGAACTGTTGTTATCATGGTCGTTACGGTCGTCACGTCTTTACATCAGCTGATTGCAAAAGAAAAGGAAATATGGCGTCTGCTCCAGAGACTATTTCTAGTAATCTAGGTAAAATATTAATTATTCGTGCAGGAATAGCTGGCCTGTCTGCTGCTGGTCACCTAGTTAAAAATTGCATTACAGATTTCAAAATATTAGAAGCAAGAAATAGGATCGGAGGAAGAATAGTGTCAACAAATACAGGTATACATAACCTCACCTGTATTTTTCTTTTGTTATGCTACTGGCAGTATATACTGCAGAATAAATTTTGCAGTATTGACAATATCATTCGTTTTATATGAAACATGCAGTTTTATCTCCACTGCTTTAACTGTCATTGCGGTTATTCTTGTATTTCAGGTAACCATAAAATCGAGCTGGGCGCAAATTGGATACACGGTATTCTAGGAAATCCTATGTATTTGATTGCGATGGTAATCGGTTTAATTGATATTGCACATGTTCCCTCGCCACATAAAGTAGTAGCTGCTACCGAAGAAGGAAAACAAATACCATTTCAAGTGTTGCAGGTTAGCAGCTTTGTAAATGTCATTCCAGTTTCAGTTGTTTCACAGAATGCTGTCTTCAGTGTTTGCATTTAAATGGAAAGTAATTTTTGCAAAAGCCAATTATATATTGTGTTACTTTTATAATTTTATGAAGCTGAGGCAGGATTCTGTGATGAATAATTTGACATGAATATTATGATACCTACAGAATATTACATACGTAAATTGATTGCTGGTTCTTATGAAATATTTCTAAGTCCCAAGATATTGTTTTATACTGCATTAAAATTACTGGTCACTGCTATAGTGTTTACAGTACTTATATCCCTGTTTGTAGACTTTAAAACTTTTAAATTGTAGGAATATTGCAAGATAGGACAAACCATGCAGGGTGATAATAAAAATAACATCAGTATTAATACAGAAGTCATATTGGAAGGTCTTCAGTCATTCATAACATTACAGGAAGTATGAATAATGTCAAATACAAATCCATTTTTCATACACTTGCTTTTCTGTGCACACACCAGTAATCACAGGAATTCTGGTATAATCTGCAAGGAATATTTTCATTTATTTATTTTAGCCCTAGCTAAATGAGTGTCACTTCCATTATATCTTCATTGCTTGTAAATTTATATCTGAAGGGTAATGGACTGAATTAAGGTATTTGTGGTCATAGCCTCAAATTTCATACAATTTCAGTTTCTAGGGTCTTCTGTCAGTCTTATAAGGAAAATTGTTGTTGAGCAAAGTGATGCTGTGTTTTTCTTTAATTCGCATAGTGGGGGGTGGAGTCCAGCTGGGTCCACTCGGAACATTGGCCACTGATTTGCCTGTTGTACCTGCCCCGAGTGATTATGATGAAGGAGAATTTGGTGGAATGAAGATTGGCAGGGGAAACAGAAGTACTTGGAGAAAACCTGCCCCAGTGGGAAGCCAGCGACTAACCGCTTCAGCTATGGCGCGGTCTTGATGCTGTGGTTTGCTCAAATTGTGGAGTGTATACCTATTTTGTATGTGTTGCCATAGTTTATATCTTCTGAAATTATATGAGGTTTGGTTTCTCAGTGCTTCAAAACTTCAGCATCACCAGACATGCTGAATTAAATTCTAGGACAAGTTGTTCAATTTGATGATAACTCCAGTATCTGAGCAATAGGAACAGCATTATAGGTTCCTGAAATGCCAAATAAGGACACTTTCTATAATGTGGTATAGAGAGAGGTACAGAAAAATTTGAAAGTTACACTTTCATTAGAATCTTACTGTTGAATTTCAGACTGTTATTTCCAGGGTTACTCAATTTTCAGTTTGTTTTGTCATGATAACTGTTGTTTTATTTCATGTGACCCTTAACAGAACTGTAAGCATAGCACTAAATACGGAGAAGTGAAGTAATTCTAATTGTAGTATTTAATGCAGGTACCAAAATGTGGTGCTCATGATAGGATTTTTGAAGTTAATTTGTGATTCTGATCTAGGATGTTCTTATTGTTCCAGGAGATATATCATCATCATCATCATCAGTAATCTGTCAAGACAACAGGTCCACAGTCTCTTCCAAAACAATTCCTCCACTTAATGCTATCTAGAGCTTTCTCCTTCAAATGACAGTATCCTCTTCTGTCCCCAAGGTCATCCAGCATCTTCTTACGTCTTCTTCCTCGTCTTCTTGTCACTTCTATCCGCCCCTCTATCTTTCCTTCAATAGCTTCTTTTAAAAGGCAGTTTCTGCATAAAACATGACCAATCCAATTAGCCTTCCATTTTCTTATTTCATGTAGGATATTCCTCTGCTCACTGACTCTAAATAACACTTTTGTATTTCTCACATAATCGGTCCAACTGATCTCCATCCTTCTCCAACACCACATTTCAAAGCCTTCCAGGTGTTTCTGATCTACTGCCCTAAGTGTCCAAGTTTCAGCCCCATACAAAGCCATGCTCCAAATGTAGGATTTCACTACTTTCTTTCTCAAATTTAAGTCCAATTTGCTGGTAAAAAGATTCTTCTTCTTGCTAAATGCAGCTTTTGCCATGGCAATCCTGGATTTAATTTCACAAGTACACCTTCCATCATCTGTTAACAAGCTACCCAAATATTTAAAACATTTCACATTCTCCAGTTGTTTTTGGTCTATCTTTATTGTGACTGGGGTTGGTTGTCTCGAAATTTTCATTACTTTTGTTTTCTCCACATTCATTTCCATGCCATAGCACCTTCCAATTTCAATTAGTCTATCAATCATGCCCTGTAGCACAGTTTCTTCCTTAGCCATTAACACAAGGTCATCTGCATATTTCACAGTTTGAATAATTTGCCCTCCTACTTTGAAGTCACCGAGCCCATCCAGAGCTTCCTTGGTAAGGCATTCGCTGTACAAGTTGAACAGAATTGGTGATAAACAGCATCCTTGTCGAACTCCTCTTCCAATCTGCACACTTCCTGTCTCCCCCCTGTCCAGTCGTACTCTAACTTTCTGATCCATGTACAATTTGCTAATCAATCTTCTTTCACACCAATCGATACCTGTTTCTTTTAGGATCTGCATTAATTTGGTCCAGTTTACCCGGTCAAATGCCTTCTGCCAGTCTATGAAGCAAACACACAGTTCTTCATCTATCTCCAAAGTTCGTTCCGCTATAATTCTCATCATCCCAATTGCATCCCTGGTTCCTTTTCCTCTTCTAAATCCAAACTGATCTTCTCCAAGTACATCCTCTATTTTCCTTTCAATTCTTCTTTTAAGTATCTTTGCTATTATCTTTGCTGTATGTGCAATAAGGCTTATTGTGCGATGGTCACTGCATTTTGTAGCTTTTTCTTTTTCTTTAAGGCAATCATTGTAACTTCTGTAAAGTCCTTGGGCCACTCTCCAATTTCATATATGGTGTTCATTAGCTTTGCCAGTGTTTTCAAATCACCTTCTCCCAGCAACTTAAGCACATCTCCAGGTACATCAACATCTCCTGTAGCCTTTCCCTTCCTCATTTCCTTGATAGCTTTTTCCACCTCACTTTGTAAAATATATGGTCCTTTCTCATCTGTATCTACTTCTACCTCCGGTTCAACTTCTAAGGTTTCTGGCCGATTAGGTCAATGATATAGTTCTGTAATATAATTTTCCCAAATTTTCAGCAATTGCCTCTGATCTACTATTCTATTCCCCTGGGAGTCTTCGATGCCAACATTTTGAATCCCATGATTCTCTTTCCATCCTAGTTCTTCTGTCTTCATGTACATCAAATCATAACGTCCTGTTCTTTGAAATTCCATAATCTCATTACATATCTTCTCAAGATATTCCCTTTTGGCCCTGTCCGTGGCTTTTTTCAATTCATTCCTCAGTCTCCTGTATTTCCTCCTGCCTTCTTCATTGTTGACATTCTTCCATTTCCTTCGCTCCTCCATTTTACTCATCATCTCCTGTGTAACCCATGGTTTTCTTGCTATCTTCTCAACTTTACCAACCAAATCACTGATAGTATCTAACATGCATTCTTTTATATTGTTCCACTGCGCTTCAGCATTTCCGCTTTCACCTTCAGTTGCACCGAGTTTCTCTTCTAGGGTCTCTTGCATGCTTTGTCTTTGAGCATATAACTTCTCCAAATCCCATCTGGGTCTGCGTTTTCAAATCTTATAATATTCTTCAACCTGGTTCGGAACTTGGCAACCATATGACGCATATGTTTGCTTTTTTCGTCGCTGTGAAGAATACTTCCTATGTCATTACTCGCCTCCAACAGGTATTAACAGTGTGGGTGAGCACATATCTCTTGAAGCAGCATTAAATCTTGACAGGTCATCTAACGACGCGGAACGGCATTTACGCCAGCCTATCTTCGACTGTTTACTGAAACGTGAAACGTGCATCACAGGCTATCACAGTATGGATGAGATCGACTTACTAGAATTGGGTAGCTACACAGAACTCCAAGGTGGTAATATTGTTCTTCCGTCTGGATACAGCAGTATTCTCAAACCTGTTTCAAGAGAGATCCTGCAGGGAAACGTCTGTAAGAGATGAGTTGTCACAACAATACGGTGGCGTTACGCAGATGAATCTATATCTGCCGACATCACAAGTCGTGGTGGGGACTCTGGAATTGACGTCCTTGCCAGTGGTGACTCTCGGAATGAGTCTGATGATTCAGACAGAACAGTGACTGGTGAACAGCCAAGAAGAGCGTCAGAAGTGTCTAGTCGTGTTGGTAGCAGTGAAAAAGAATTTCAATCTACTGTTACAGAAGATCATAAAAACTCGTGTACAAATTTAGAACAGTGTGAGAAAGGTTGCGAAGAAACGTCAGAAGATAACAGTGAAAATAAAGCAACGAACACAAGTGAAAGTGGTGAAACCTCGTCAGCTTCTTTCTGTCAGAGGCATAATCGTGATGGTAATAGTGAATCGTCTCAGTCAAAATCCGTTTAACTAATACCAAATGCTGAAATTGTCTGTGAAGATGGGTCACATTACTATGCAGATCACGTGATTTGCACCGTTCCACTTGGAGTGCTTAAGGAGAAAGCTGCGACTCTTTTTTCACCTCCATTGCTTCAGTACAAACTTGACTCCATTGACAGGCTGCAATTTGGTACAGTAGACAAAAGCATCTTGGAATATGACAGACCATGTCTGAATGCAGATGTCTGAGGGAATGCTGCTTTGGGAGACAGATATAGAGGCTGTTGCAGGTGAGTAAACCGCAGTTACTGGTGTGTGATTGGTTGCATCGAGCATAGCTAGTCTCTCCCTGGCAGATTTTCAAGAATTATAGGCGCAACTTCAATATTTGGGTCCCAGAATGAAATTAAAAAAATACTGTGGACTAACAAACTGATAAGAAAAAAAGAGGAATTAGCCCTTTTTGTTAAACATATGTAAGTTTCTACAAGCCTAGACTATGTACTATCTGTTCTAAAAAGTGAAGGTTATAACCTACTCATTCAGCAAAAGCAGAAGGTATAGTGTGTATAGAACCATATATCCTCCCTCCATTGCAGCGCATGTTGTTGCCACAAAGCAGAAAAGTAGATACAGATCATCATAAACGAAGTTGCATGTTTTTCAAAGATCCCTCATGGTACAACATTAATGCCTCTACTGTTACTGATATGAGAAATTTACATTGTCATTATTCTGGTACTGACGGTGATAAGGAATTTAAATTTGCATAGTTTAAGTAAGATTAAATTTATTTATTACAAGTACTTAATGGGTATGGCTTCCTTTTAGTGAAAAGTTACTCTGAATATTGAAGAAAATATGTTGTTATTACACTGTCACTTTACTTTAATTGATTAGAAATAATCTAGTTGAATATGATTGACAGATTTGTTATAAAAAAGTGCAGGAGTACGATTAATTGCATCAATTTTTTTTCGTGTGGATAAGATTGCAAATGTATTTCTCATTTCCCTTAACCCTTTGACGTGGTCATTTAAATTCCGCGGCCGCGGCTCCTGCGGTAATATATTCAGCCGGCCATTTAAATTTTGCTCGAAAATTATTTATTCATCATTGTTCTTAAATTCTATGAGATAGGAACATGAAACTTTCACTAAAATGATCTTAAATGGTGGTTTTATAACCTTACCTTATAATATGGGCGCCCTGTATCTCGGCCATGGAAGCAGGTTGTTTAGTATTTCAGCAGTGAATGGTACGCCTTGAAGGATGAAACTTTCACTAAAATGATCTTAAATGGTGGTTTTATAACCTTACCTTATAATATGAGCGCCCTGTATCTCGGTAATGGAGGCAGTTGGTTTAGTAGAAGGAAGGCCTTGAAGCATTCGTATAACCCAACGGTGCCCCACGTTCACCATTCTCCGCTCCAATATTGTGTATTTTTTTTGGCCCTTTTTTTTAACCACACATATGTGCGGCCTTGCCTTCTTACCCGTGAGGGGTATACTTCAAGGAAATGTCTTTCCGTGACCCGTTTAGTTGCCAGGTCAGCTGTAGTAAATTCAACGTTACGAGTTATCATAACAAGGGGTTGTTGCTATGCCTTTGATATTCCATCCATTTTGGCGGCAGGAGATGTCGTAGGGGTGACCACAGAATTCATGAAGTTATTCTAAGAACTGTCTGGTATGTAGTGAACGAAAGTAGAGCTTAGCTGGCTCAAAAAAATATTTATGGTCATCCCTCGAAACGACCACCAAGGTCAGTACGATAAAATGGAGTCAACTGGAGCGATAATGAGTGAAGGAATGAGTTCTTTTCCCTCCCCCACACACATCCGTATCGTCTCAGGGGGTGACCACAGTGTTCTGCCTTAAATTGTGGCGTTTTTCTAAGAAATGGGTGCTATGTACTGTGCGAAAGCAATCGATTTTGCAGGCATAAACTTTTGTACATCCCTCTTCTAAGAATTCCAATTGAATAGCCAGCTCAGGGCAATATGATATTATAAACACCAGCACATATCAGTCTCTGGTGTTTATAGCTTCAGAGCAAACAAAACACATCATTCATAACAGAAACAGCTCGCAATAGCCACAGGAACGTTGCTGCAAGACAGGCATATGTAACGACGACTTAGCGCTCTTAAACGCGTGTGTCATTAAATACAGTCCTCCTGACAACAGGCCAGTGAAAAATCTAACAATCTACAGCAAAACCATCAATTATTATGGGCGTTATAACATACGTGTGCAGCTGGACGAAACATACACGTCGAACCCCCCCAGACGATTTAAATCCCTGACGAAACATACACGACGAACCACGGCAACGGGTTAATTTAAAGGCACTAATCAGAAATACTGTGGCCTCGTTTAATATTACTCTCTACTGACAATAGCATATGATAAGCGTGACAGTGTAATGAATAGTTTTTGTGAGACATAATGAGCAAAAGAAGAATCGAAAGGAAAATAGAGGCTATACTTGGAGAGGATCAGTTTGGATTTAGAAGAGGAAAAGGAACCAGGGATGCAATTGGGATGATGAGAATTATAGCAGAACGAACTTTGGAGATAGATGAAGAACTGTGTGCTTGCTTTATAGACTGGCAGAAGGAATTTGACTGTGTAAATTGGACCAAATTAATGCAGATCCTAAAGGAAACAGGTATCAATTGGCGTGAAAGAAGATTGATTAGTAAATTGTACATGGATCAGAAAGTTAGAGTGCTACTGGACAGAAGGGAGACAAAAAGTGTGAAGATTGGAAGAGGAGTTTGACAAGTATGCTGTTTATCACCAATTTTGTTCAACTTGTACAGCGAATGCCTTACCAAGGAAGCTCAATGGGCTTGGAGACTTCAAATTAGGAGGGCAATATAATAAATGATACAAACTCCGTCCCAAGTGCAAGCAATATATATTATATGTCTTTGATCTTGCTCTCTTCTACACTACATGTTTTGGCCTCGTAATGGCCATCATCAGGTGTATACTCTTACGTTGCTGCCACACTGAACCCAGTCTAATATTTAACATTTAAAAAACACATTGTTATTTTCTTCGTTATTATCACCATGTATCTCATTGATATCTGTCTGGTATGTAGATTATTTTGCACACATCAATTTTAATTTTCCTGTACTAGCACTATAAAATAATTAGTTATAATTTTAAAATCCTCTAAAATTTTAAATTTAAAATTTAGAGAAAATTTTAAAGGATTTTAAAGCTGCATTTAGCAAGAAGAAGAATCTTTTTACCAGCAAATTGGCCTTAAATTTTAGGAGGAAACTAGTGAAATGCTACATTTGGAGCATAGCTCTGTATGGGGCTGAAACATGGACACTTAGGGCAGTAGATCAGAAACATCTGGATAGTTTCAAAATGTGGTGTTGGAGAAGGATGGAGAAGATCACTTGGACCGATTATGTGAGAAATGAAGAAGTGTTAATTAGAGTCAGTGAGCAGAGGAATATCCTACACGAAATAAGAAAATGGAAGGCTAATTGGATTGGTCATGTTTTACGCAGAAACTGCCTTCCAAGGAAGTTATTGAAGGAAAGATAGAGGGGCGGATAGAAGTAACCAGAAGACGAAGAAGAAGACGTAAGAAGATGCTGGATGACTTTGGGGACAGAAGAGGATATTTTCATTTGAAGGAGAAAGCTCTAGATCGCATCAAATGGAGGAACTGTTTTGGAAGAGACTGTGGACCTGTCGTCATGACAGATTACAGATGAATGAATGAGCAAATGAAAACAGATTAAATTTATGGAATGTTTGCATCTTCCCATATTTCTGTCTAAAACCTAAAAATTAAAAATACAAAACTGTAATTTTTCCAAGCGTGGAACTTGTCTTTCACACTGAAATAAGAACGTATATTTAGGGTGTGTGCGAACAGGGTGATGAAGAATACATTTGTACTGAAGTGAGGAAGAAACATGTTGCTGGAGGAATTTCAGTAATGGGGAAATCCATAATTTGTACTCTTCACAAAAAAAAATATTAGAGACTAAATCAAACAGTATTATGTATGTTTAGAACATGTAGCAACTGTTGCAGAGAAAGTTTCAGTTGGAAGACCTGAAGGGAAGAAACCATTTGGAAGACCTAGGCACAGGTAGGAAGGAAATACCGTAGTTACGCATGTATAGGCCGCACATTTTTTGCCAAAAATTCAACAGGAAAACGGTGCGGCTTATATTCGAAATATTCGAAATCACACTTCATTTAAAAAAATATATATTCATAATTAGTAAATAATATAATATTCCAAGAAAATTATTTTTCCTATAATTTCTGTCTGAAAATTGTGCTGCGGCCTATACATGCGTAAATACGGTATTATAATCGATTTAAGTGGTTCAGAGTAAGGTTCATTAGCATGGAGAAGGTAATGAAACATTTTATTCTGACAGATTCTGAAGGACTTGGTTCCATTGAGATAATTGGTTGAAGCAAGGTAAATTAAAATATAGTATGCATATGCATCTGTATTTATTACAAGTAACAGAGATTAATTGGAAGTGAATATATAGAAAGGAAACTCAGAAATGGAATGAAAAAATTATGTAGCGGTATTTGATATTGATAAAAAATATTACATTCACTTGCAGAACTTGACGTTTATTAAGTTTGCTTAGTTTGTAAGTCCATTATGCATACCAAATAGTGGGTATCTTTTAAGATGAGTTAACAAGAAGATTCTTGAAATAAATTGTCATAAAATGAATTTGTGTGCCCAGTCTTAAGAAACCTGTAAAAAGTAGCCTTCATCTTGTTATGGCTCAGAGCTAATGTCTCTGTTGTTTTACTAATGAGTAAATGCACAAAGATGAGCACAGAATCTTTCATGCCAGTTATTGAAGAACAGTACATACTTGATATTGGTTAGATCTTAAGTGTGAGTAGTTTTCTTTAATGGGGAAGCGAACAAAGGCTTATTGTATAATAATCTGTTCACTAGTGTAACTATTCACACTGTGTGGTTGGTATGGGTAAATATTACATCAAATGTAAGAGAAAAATGTAATCAATATTCTTGAGGAATTTCACAGTAAATAATAATATTAATTGGCAAATATTATTATTTTTAGTTATATTTATGCAGACGTTATAATGAGAGAAACAGACCTGTATCACTCTGGACGTTTGAAAAAGATAACATTTTTCCCTAATCATAAAGTAATATAAATGTGAATGTTGAGTGTTTTGTGTAGTGTAGATTCATATTGTTGTCTTATTGGTTATCATACTGTTAGTCTGGAGTTACAGACGGGTACGAATGCTTTAGAAGAAAGTTACACCTTTTTTGTGGTGTATTTTATGATGTTTATTGTATCTCAGACTCTATAGCATTGAATGTTAGGATGATTGGTGAATAAAAAGTTGGAAATGATTTGGAAGGAAGCAGCCTAGGTACTGCCCCTGCATTCATCTTGACAAACTGAGGAAAACCATGAAAAATTCCAGTCAGGATAGCCAGTGTTCAAACCAAGTTTGAAACTGGATGCCTCTCAAATAAAAATCTAGAACATTACCAATGCACCGTTGTGTTCGGTAAGAAATACTCTGTCTTATGGTTCTGGTAGTGGCACTAATTGTCACTCCCACCTCACAAGGGATCTGTAGGTATTGATGATCTCAGGATATTATGAAGTGTAAGTTTAGATTGGCCTCTGGTGGCATAATGCTTGTATCAGATGTCATCTTGTAACCGTTCATCCTAATTTGGTAGACTATTTTGTATTAATTAGATCTATATTAAGTTAATATCACTTAAATACAAAGAGATCCGGCAGGTAGGCAACTCTTACACGCAGAAGTGACATAGTTCAAGTTTTGGTATAATGGACAGTAAGTAACAACATCTGGTACTTTCCCTGGAATTCTGGCAGTTTCAGCAAAGTCGGAAAGTCCTTGATAATTTGAGAGCTGACTGCTTGGAACAGCTATAACTTAGAAGTGGGAGGGCCGAAACCTCAGCCTCTGATCGTAATGCATCAAATTGCTGTCAACCTTAGCGTCAGGTCAGCAACTGCCAGAATCACATAGCAAAGCAACATGATTGGAAATTCACAAATTTAGGGAAACTCCAAGTTTGAAAAACTTAACCAGTGGCAAAAGTGGAGGAGTGGATTTCTCTTGGAGTCTGTGGTTCGTGGACCTCAGGATTCAGAGGGAGTGAATTCCACCTCAAGGAGTCTGCGTCCAACTTTCGGCCAAATCAGGCACAAATTACAACTATATCCCTTCAGTAAAAGTATCATAAGTTAAAATCCAAATACCTGTAAGTGTTATTAATAGATTCCGTTGTATTCAGCCAGCTGGAGTGAATTAAATAATTACTAAGTGCAAAAGTCTGAAGTGGTGTATGTGACTGCCCGAGCCAGACCCAATATAAGACCCCGGGATAAGAACTCATCTCTACCAATTACAGAGCAGAACCCAGATACTTCTGTCTTTCCCTACTTGCGAGACACCTAATGGTAGCCCAGGAACGGACTCCCGCCTACCAGCACCAACAACCACAATTCTCTTCCCTTCTCACCTAACTTCTCGCCATCCACGAGAAGGAGTGTAACCGCACCATGCAGGAACCTCAGCAATGTTTTTCATTTACATTCTTAATTACAATGTACTACATGTAAACGAACTGTGTTACTGTTAACAAAAGATGATACAGAATTGACCCAAGCACCAGCAGACGCCAAGGACGACATCTGGTCTTTCTGAGGGACAAGCAAGCTGCAGGTCACTTGAAAACCCAGAACGGAGCAGGAAGTAACCCACTGTGTTTTCTGGGAATTTCAATGCTTAACCTCGACGGTGCAAGTCTTTGAAAATTTGAGGCTTGACAGATACGAGTCGCAATAATTTTTAGAGGGGCGTACCGAGCAATCGTTAGCGTACCTTCATTTATTTGAGAGCAGTCAGAGGGGCCGTGTTGTACTTAGGCCCAAATTAACATGGATCTTGTTAGGGATTGGCTGACTGCAAATGAGAGAAGCACCCAAATTTTAGGTTCAGCCAATCAGCAAAATTTCAGAGGAGAGGAAACCAGGCGTTCCTGCTTTCCATCAGGACTTCTGCCTCTCCAGAGCAGTCAGTCATCAACAGTGAGTAACAGGAGTAACCTCCCGGACGTTGAATCGGTGTTGGCCCGAATCCGGTGTACAAATTCAAAGTGCTACAACCTGGTAATGTGTAATTGTAGTGCACTTCTACAATAAAGACAGTGTTGGTGAAGTGTGTGTTTTCAGTGTTCTCTCTCTCCTTGTGCGAGCAAGGCCCAGAAGTTGCCCTGAGACGGAATCTCGTCCTACCGTCTGAGCAGTCTGAACCCCAAACGTCCGCCTATCCATATCGCCACCTTTGTTTTCCCCATCCCAAACTCGTGGATTTCACCCAAGTCCACTGGCGCCCATACAAATTCAAATTCAGAGCAATCCCACACCCTACCCTGAACCAGACAGCTACAAGGAAGCGGCGGATGAAAGTGGAGACCACAAAGGGGCGAACGTGACGGCCAGTTATAAGTGGTGACCAACTCGTGGGGCTTGAAGTCTCACTGAGCGGTAACGACGACGACGAGGGCAGTAACTCCAGTGGAGGTGTCCAGAAAGAGGTGCAAGTGAATTGCAGGCCAACGAAGTGAGCGGTTAAAATCTAAATCTGTCCAGGATTTCTAGACTTGAAACATGCAGTGGACAGAGAAGCAGGCATGACTTCCCAAGACCTTCGCTGTATGGATTTTTTTTATGTGCACTATCCGAAAACCGCACAAGAAGTAGTGAATGTTGTCAAATATTTCTCTTTCCAGATAACCTAAGTAACACTTTGTACCGCAAGATCTACTCTTTCTCCAAACTGTCAGAGATGCTGTTGCTCGGCTGGATCTCGGGTCGGGAAGCCAAATATATGGAGACATTGACCCATGACCAGGTGGCTGACACACGCACAGATATCCTCAGGAAGTTCCTTAGTGACCCCTTCATACCAAAGCCAAAACTCTGCATATGGTAAGCCTTCCAGTTTTGTAATTACTGCCTGCACAACAACATGACATACCGTAAATATTGTGACATGACAACCGAAAGCTGGACTAGCAGATCCAGAAAAGATATTCATTGCTAGGCACAGACCACCGCTAGGCATCATCCCACTTAACACATCACTCAACAGCGGAAGAATTCTTGGAAGTGGTCTTATCTGTGCAGTCTGTGCTGAGGCTGTATAACAAGGATGAATGAGAAAATTTCTGACAGACACCTGACAGCTATATTTTTCTCCTCGTGTGGAGGTGGGATCGAATACCTCTACTGTGGCCCTGCAAGTTGTAGGAGGCAACGTAAAGGGACCCAGTGCCTGGGCATTTAACTGGGCCACCCTGTTCCTGGGGAATATAAATACAGGGACCTGACCTTCCAGGTTGTGGGAGTTTTCAATCTGAGACAGTAAAATATGGTCATGAGTCCCGCGGGACTTAGACCTGAGAATGACTGTCCTAGCGAGGAACAGCATCAATTATAAATGACAGACCCATCCTCTCATAGGAGAGGATGTTACATAAGGACTATTACTGCAAGTATTCAGTTGGAAAAAAGAAATTACTGATCGTTAGTCTCAAGAGGCTTGTCAACAAGACGAACTGATTGGCGGTATACTGCTAGTCGTTAAGTAACCCTGACTGAGACTCTGTACATCTGACAAAAGTATAAGAGCTGTGGGGCTCTTAATGTAGTTTTGTCATTACTCCGATGACAACCCACTTCTTCGGAACAGTTTGTTGGTCCTGAAAAGGACTGTGGTTGCTGAGGTGTTTGATCGGTGAGGTAGCACGGCGCGCGCCTGTAGGGAGAAAGGTTAGTTGCGGTGAGTGGACTGGCCGCAGTGCGGCCGTTGGTTGATCGCGGCGGCTGCTGGTGAAAGGCTAGTCTTTGAGCGCGGTCGTAGGAGTGATGAGGCAGTGGCTACGCCAGGTGCTCAGTGGGTCGGACAGAGACACGACCACCGGCGAGTCGAGGCGAGATGCCCCAGTGAGTCGGGTTGTGAGAGCCGGAGAGCCGAGGCAGTCGTGCCTGGCTCAGCCTGCCGATGCCTCCGAAGACCGAGCGCTGGTGACGAAGCCTGCTGGCTGATGTTCCTTGGTGTGGCTTGATCGTAGACTGAAGTCAACAGAATACTCGGCAAGGCAATGCAAGGTCATGTTACAACTGACGGTCAGTCAGTCTGTCTGTCTTGGTGTCCGGGGCTCATGACCAGATATTTCTTTTGAATGAAAGTTACTGTCCTGTCCATGTGTAGCGCCCTCTCTGACGAGAGGTCGGGTCTGTCATTTGTTAGTCAGTCTGTATTAAAAAGTCCATTGTCTATATTTACACATATTTACAATACACAATTATTTCTTATTTAAATGTACAATATATACACGGCCTCTGTCAGTCCAGGCTAGGTACAGCAGATTATGCACTTAAATATATATTTCCTAGTAGTATTAGCTACCACGGCAGTCTAGTCACTTGAACGGTCGTATGCCTGACCGCCACCAAGTTTAAGCCTCTTATACTTTCTGTGTCGGGCTTGGCCTTGTCCGATGTTGCGAACATTCTCATTATCATGATTTTGTATGACTTCTGCTTGTTGCCTGCATAATTTTGTTATGTAATCATATACGTACGGGATTTTGAA